ATTTTTTATACTTCCTTCTAGCTTTATTATAGTATTGAATAGAACATATGCAACGATTAGATAATTCTATTCTTTAAATGATATAAATTTTGGCATTAGAGTTATAATATGAACGAATAATACGTTAACTGTTGATAATTATTGGATATATAACAGTTACTAGTTTCCGTTTATATATTATATAAGTTAACTGTACATAATTATTACTAATTAAGGAATCTAGCGCCAGAGTGTCGCTATTGGTAAACAAAATAGAGGCATTTTAAAGAATGCATTTTTCTATTGTGGTTATGCGCTGTCGGCGAAGTAGATTTAATTGAATCCAATAAGTTTAAATGAAATGCAAAAAAAAAAAGAAATTTAAATATTCCGTACAAGGAAGTCATGTGGTGTACACATCAGATTTTTTTTAATTTGATCTAAAAGACAATTATGTGTCTAAACGTAATTGGGAAGCTCGAGCTTAGATGAGTCTTACTTCACAGTATTTTAAAGTTTCCATAACCTTTTATTCATTCATGGTATTTCACTGGTGTCTGCCGAAAACATCGCAGACGAAAACGTCGCGGAGAAAACAACGCAAGGCGAAAACGTCGAGAAAATTGAAGTTCAAGAGTTTTGCAGCAGTTCAAGAGTTCTGCAATTTAAAAACTTCGTAGTCGAAAAAATCGTGGTAAAAAATAAAGTACCTACAAATCATTGCATGACAATAACTTGACAATGTTTTCATACTATAAACATTTATTTAATGTAGATGTGATAATTAATGAACTAACAGGAGAAAAATAATTTATCATAAAGTTTAATGGGAATAATAGATTAAATAATTCTATATAAGAATTCCTCCATAATTTTATATCGCGAATAATAAAAGCGTAGGTGCCTAAATACCGAAATCTACTAATTAAATTGCATTGTCAAATGTCTAAGCTATTATCTTTTGAAATTTTCTATTAATTTAGTTATTAATTTTTTTAATTAAATCATGAGCTTTTATTATTTGGGATATGAAATTGTAGACAAATTTTGTAAGCAGAACTATTTAATTTATTTCCTTTAAACTTCAAAATAAATAATTCTTCTCTTTTTAGTGCATTTATTAATTACCATACCTATTTTAATTGAGTTTTGCATTATCTAAATTTTTGTTCTACTATTGAATTCTGTCTGTACGTTTTACGCTAAATTTTACTTGTATCTTAGAGCCTAAGAACAATTTTCCAAAAGACTTTTAATAATAATAATAATAATAATGATGATGATATCTAAAAATCTGAAAGCTATTTCAGATTTTATATTACGCTCAAAGGAGCATTTTTTTTACCGTTTTAGGTGTTACTTTTTTTAATTAAATATCATGTTCTTCGCACTTAAACCACAAAATTAAATTCAACAGCAGTATCACAAAAGGCTTAAAAAGAGCATATCTTTAGAATTTCCGATACACAGTCTCGTGTGCTGGAGATAAAAATTCCCCCCCCCGTACAGTGTAGCCACTGCTCTCTTTGAAATCATTGAGTTTCTTAATAAAAAATTCGTAAAAGTTTTACAAAATAGATAATAAAACCAATTTCAAATTTCAAATTTTGACTTTCAGATGTCCATATTCGAGTGGAGGACTACGTTATTCAAAATTCGATATTCCTAGGTACCGTTTTTTTCACAATACGAGAAACATACATACATATTGCAGATGCTTCATTAATTAATTATTTATTAATAATACCAATAGTAATAATAATAATAAAACTTGTTGAAAGTTTCGAGAAAATTAAATCAAGGAGACTCAAGGATTACTCAAGGAGAAACAGTATTCTTAATAACATCCCTGATTTAAAGTAAATTAATGCTTATGTACTAGATTTTAATTACCGTTCAAGAAATTTTAATTTCCTTAAGGGGACTCATACACCTTAAAACCCATAAGATGTTCGAATAGGTGACGGTTGCAAGAATTGGGATAACTTATTTAGTAATTTACTACCAAATTTTTACAGATGACTACATAAGATAGCTGCTTTGAAATAGTCATCAGAAAGTTTGTGTTGTCACAGTTTAAACATTCTGTTTCACTTTAATTCCATATTTAATATATAGCTTTTATAACATTTGGAAACTACTGTGACCTAAAATTCTAAAATTCACGTTAAATTTTTATTTATTTGAGTTAAGTTTATAAAATGTTTTTATTAACACAATTTTTAAGTTTGTCGTCCATAAAATATTTCAATATTAAATATTCATCAGTTGTTGGTTCGTTAGAAGTAGTGCCATATAAAGAATTGCATCCAATTTCAAGTATGTACCATAGCCATTTTAAAATATATGAGCCAAGGTGGAAACATGGCGAAATATTTTGTCAAAGAGGATTAAATTCCAAAACTATTTGTGGCAACACAAACTTTCTGGTTATAGCTTCTAAAGCAGCTATATTATTTGGCCTGTAAAAAGTTGGAAGTATTGCTTTTAAAATAAATAAAATATCCCAATTCTTGCAACAGTCACATATTCGAAGATCATAAGAGGTTTAATGTGTACGAGTCACCTTAACTTTCCTATTTAATTCATGAATTACTTAAAACCCGCTATATGTTGTAAAATGAGATAATTTTACCCAATTTCGTAAAAACTCAACTTGAAATCAAAGACATTTCTTATTCGCTCATTTTAATGTACAATAAAGTACACCTTCTGTATTGAGATTCTGACGCAACGGAACGTTTGAAACAGATGACTGTATGTTTTCAACAAGGGAATAGTTATAATTATCAGAGCTTCTCTAAGCTGACGGAATTCAATTACCAAAGCATTTAATGCAGAGAGCTACAGTTAATTAATCATTTGTTATAGCATTTATCATAGCTCATTTCCTGACCGGAGTAGTGTGACGAAATATTAGAGGTTTTGCGCTGAATTAGGCTACGCATAAACGCGAATTATTGAATATCGATCTGATGGCATTTATCAAAATATTTGTAATGAACAATGTAAGCGTAGAGGTATAAAGAAATTCAAAGCCCGTTCAACAAAATTTTACAGCGCGTTTAAAATTAAATTAAGATCGTGCATTTTCGAAATTATGTCATATTTTGTGACATAATTAACAACCTCTAATTTATTCAAAAAAAATAATAATTTTCCGCCTTCTCAGCATTTTAAAACCAGATTCTGGAGATTTAAAGAATATTCGAGTAATTTCCCCTCCCCAGTGCATTCAGAGAACGAGCTCCCCTAAATTTTAAAATTAATTCGTCCCCGTCGTGATTGTTTTCATCTCAACAACAAGGACAAACCCTCTCAAACTACGTGCGAAGATCACGCCGAACCTTTCCTTTTGAAAGAACTACCTTTTGAAAGGTATGCCAGCGTAATACAACAATCGACTCATCGTAGCAAGGCAAATATAAATTGACATCCAATCTACGATTTCGTCGAGTCAGTTGTACATTCACCTTCTCTAATATTTTATGAATGATTTGAGGACTAAGGAATAGCACAGACAACAGTCAGACCAGGCGAAATATAAGTTACAGGGAAGGAAGTAAAAATGAGAATCTTGTATAAGTTATTGTAATTACTATGTTCTCTTATATTTTTACTGTAACCGCGTCTTTCGGAAATTAATTTATTCACATAAATTTACCTTCTCAGTTTTTGTACGATTAAATTAGTGAAAAAAAGGGATGGGTAAAGACACCAGTAAATAAGGTACATAATATTCTAGTTACTTATAACTCTATATATATACTAGTTACTTATAACTCTAATATTCCTACAAAAAAATGAGCCGCCCAACCGGTATAGACGCTGACTACCGTGTCGAAGGGCTCGGGTTCGAATCCTGGAGAAGGCATGGATGTTTGTATATGTATAAAGTCCGTGCGGCATGGAGGAACTGTAAATATGCGGCGAGCCGAAAATCCTCTCGAAAGGTTGGTGGTAGAGAAAGAGGGGTGAGAGATTCTCGGACCTGTCCCCCGGGGCAAAGAATATGTATTGTTAAGAAGGAAAACTTCGCAGCAGCAGGGGTGGCTCCCTTCGAACGAAAAGGGAAACAGCTGCGAATGCGTAAAATATCTGTCGCCAAAAAGCGCCAAAGCTCGAAGCTGATGTCGAAGTTCGAACAGGTTCGACGGTCACGTTTTTGAAGAGTTTAAAGCTGTGTGACTCCAATTTTTCCCCTCCATATTGAATATATAAGTACAAGCCCCTATATGGCCATGTACTTATATATTTCTCAGATATCAACAAACACTGGAGCCCGGGCAGTTGGACGGCAGCGAACCCCATCGGCGGCTCTGGATAATGGCGGACGTGGTGCTGTACTGATTAACCATTAAGGTAAAGGGACAGTGCCCACGTCCTCCGTCACTTATCACTTATCCCTCCATATTGACGGATATGAAATCAGACAGCAAACTGTGATATGGATAATGCAAGTTCAACAGCCTTGGAAGGGAAACTTCACCTAATTTCGAAGAACTTATTCATCTTAATTTCCTGTACACGTCCTCAATATCTTTCTCAATTTCTGTTCCTCAATTTCCTGTACACGTGGCGGAGGAGGAGGAAAATCTCGGCCAGGTCCCGTACATCACAGACGGGGAAATTCTCGCCAACAGGCTCCGTCACCAAATCTCTTGGCGAATTTTCCCTCTTCTTTCTAGTGGCGTAGAAGACAAACTGGTTTACATTACGTCTATGGAGCCTTTCCTTCTTTACATAGACGTTCTTTGCCCGGGATGCTCTTCATCAAAACTGGGGGCGGACTGAGCTAAATCGTCTGTCACTTGTAAGGTGCTCAAGGCTGTTGCTTAGGCAAAAACTTGCGCAGCTCCCCAGGAGGAATTTCGTGGGCTTGGGTTGACTATAGCTCAGATAACTGAGCATTAGCAACAAAAACAAGAAAATGAAACGAAATGGCAGTACTCGAAAGCTGAACATGAAGAATACATTTGAGAGTAAAGGTTAGGAAAAAATTATTAAGTCGTTATACAGACCAGATGGAATGACTGTGGCAAAAGTCCAAAGCTGATATGATTTGGCGAAAAAACCTACGAGCTTCTTTCGGCGTCAACCTGCCCTTTTTCACTAGGTAATCGAAAAGTTCTCCTCCAGACACGTGTTCCAGGATCAGGTACCTGAAAATTAAAGAAATGAAAATTTCATTATTTAAAAGAAAAACTTGGATAAAAAACTGAACAATGCTCAGATCTGCATTTTGCAATAAATATGGAAATTGATTCTATTTTTCAAAACCCCCTTTATTGGAAAATTAAATGTATCAAACTGGTGTAAAAACGCGCAGATATAAAATCTAAGTTTAGCAAGAAATCAACCATGTATTAGTTAAGAGTTTGAACATAATTTAACCTATTTCGAGGGCAGTCAAAATCAGGTCCCTCTTCTTCAAGCGCAAAAGAAATATGAAGAAGAGGGACTGTTTCTGATCGCTTTCAGTCAGCAAATTTTTATTCAAAATCTACACCGATCGCCAACGGCTTTTTTGCCTGATTTTAAGCTAAATTGTATAATGAATATAGTGTTACGAATTTTGTATTTTAATAAGTAATTTTAGTAAAATTAGAATTAAAATTGTTGCATTTCCCCGTGCAATACAGCGCGACACAAATTTTAGGAGAACCCTATGCCGGAAAAGTAAGAATACCGAGGCACGTGCATTTAATATTGAGTAAATAGATATCTCGGTAATTTGTATTGAAATTGAATAAATGTAATTGACTACTATGTTAGCTGTAATCGTAATTCCATCCTCTTGCTTTCCAGAAATCTCGAGAAGTAGAAAGTACTACAAATTTCTTGCGACCGGCTGAAAACTATACAGGCCGGAGAGAGAGTCGTCGTGCTTAGTTGCTGTTGTTGCGAGTTGTTTAGCTTCGAGTGAACTGAGATATCAGAGTTAGCTTTCTCTTTAGATGCTCTTTGCAGTGCGTTGTATTTAATTTTTTTAGTAGTTTGAATAGTAACTACTGAATTGGGGCTTGAGTTCAACTTTTGCCTGCTTGTACAACTTTAGACAACTTGCTTGAAACTTGCTTTTGTGTGTTTTATATTGTTTTCACCTGATGTCAAACTAACCCCTTATTTATTTTGTTTTTACGTGATGTCATATTAACCCCTTATTTACTTGTTAGGTTTACGAGTATATTGTCTCGTAATGTGACGTCTTACTGGTTTTATATCTTTGTAACCTTGATTTACTACTATATTTTTTGTTTATATGGTTTGTTTGTTTTTGTGCGTAGTGTAATATGGCACAGCCCCTCTGTGTCATAAGCCCCTTAATGAGCGGGCCGGACTGCGTCCTAAATAAACAATAATAATAATAATAATAATAATGAAAATCTGAAAGGTTTCAGATTTTAAATTATGTCCAAAGGAGCTTTTTTTAACGTTTTGTGTGTTATCTTTATAAGGTATTTCTCCCACTTTCCTAGCGTGCCTTCGTGGTGCAGTGGTTTTACACGCTGGGCGGTATTCCAGAGGTTCATGGTTCGATTCCCGGCGAAGGCGTTGCTAATTTTTCATCTCTCCAGCCTCCTAAAAATAGCCGAATGTCTCTACAATTATTTAAGGTATTTCTCCCACTTTCCTAGAGTAATCTGCAGTAAATTTATACTATACGGCTCCAGAGAAATACCTTTTGCAAAAGGCGGGAGCGTCACATTTTTTGAGCTCTCACGTTTCTACTAAATATAGGCGGAAAAATCGATACTTGAACATCGAATCATGTATCAGTAGTTGCAGAACTTTATCAAGAATACGGAGGTGTAAATTTTATGACGATAATATGCATCGTTTATAAATAATTAACAACTGATTGAATTTATCACGTCTTACGATTAAAAGACAGCTATACGAAGCATGCCTGCAGTTTTGCATCGATTTCAAGTGCCTCTCAGTGAAATTCTTTATGAAAGGCATATTCAAATGTGCAGTGATCAACGAAGACCTTGCTGATAAAGGTTTTGTTCCTGTACGGCTCTTAGGTTTTAATTATTCATTTAATTTTATTGGGAAGTCTCGCAGAAAGTATACGACCCCTGTAAAAACGTTTTCACCCCTCGCCTCTTTTGTGCTGCAGAAGTGGGGGTCTGGTGAGAAATCGTTAAAATCTCCCATATTCTCGACTTTGAGGGATTCAAGTTTCAGCGGAAGGATAACGGCATTCCCAGATGTGAGATAACTACCCAACTTGTTTTCTACTGTTTGGATTATACACATTCAGGGCGGACTGCAAAAGGTGACTTTTCTGAATTTAATTTCCCCGAAGTATTCAAGTAGTTCAGTTCACAACTGAAATTCTAAATGCGTCTCTGACAAACAACATTCTAATCCTCAGCGTTGTTATAAATCTTTCTGTAATACTAGGTACTGTTAAATTCTGCTGACTATTAATCTAATATTGGATATTAAGAGTGCATAATTATCTTAATGATTCTTAATTAGTGTGCAACAATTTATCTTATATAATTGTATTTTGCTTATTATAACAACTAATAATATTTTATTATTTTCATTATTGTTAATATATACTATATATTAATGAATGTATAATATCAATTGGTTTTGAATTTATCTTCAATTGATTTTGAATCTTTTTTTTTTTACTACAATTTTATTGTCTACCTGTAGTAGTAATTCGCTTATTGTATGTTGCTTATTATATGTATTCTTAGTTGCTATTTGTTATTCCAATTTTTTAATGTTATAGTGCGCTGCGGACGGTTTTTTTCCCCCTTCTTTATTAGTGTTCATCTTCCTGCCATTAGAGCTAGTAGTTCTTGCAAGCAAACGAAGTGTTCTCATCTAATACCTTAACTTCAGTGTTACATACTGTTCCTCCGACTCTGTTCATCAAACGAGTGAGAACTCTGTGCTAGGATTAGAACTTTAACAGGTTGAGAGACTCACTTAGTATTTTATTTTTAAGTTAATATTACTATTTCATGTTAAATGGGGTCAAGAAAAACCTCCCCAACTAGATCAATTAGGACAACCAGCTCGAGGTATGTGAGCCCAGTGAGATTAGACCATCCATCTTCCAGATTAGATAGGATTAACACTTTGACTCTGCACATCAAGTCACTTTTAGCAGAGTACAGAGGCCTTTCCAAACTAAAAATCGCAGACCACGAAGCGGTCTCCAATTATATCACAGAAATCCTGGCTATAGCTTCTAATCAGGAAATCTTAATTGCAGGACAGGAGGGACAAATACTTCAAGTAGAACAACAACTTAGTGCCAGTCTCTTCTCTCAAGCAAGCGAGCACAGTTTTAAGGTCCCGGAGCTACAAGAAAACCATCCTACAGGACAACAAGACCGTCGGAGTTACGCAACTGTGGCCGGTAAGATTCAGAAAAGAAGCCCCCTTCCATACAAGCAACAGCCATTCCCAATCAAAAGCCTTCTGAGCACGTTTTACTTATCAAGGGGAAAGATTCAGAGTGCCCACCAGATAGTGTGAAAGCGCAAGTTCTAAACAACATCAAACCCCATAAGCTTGGCATCAACGTGCAGCAAGTGAGGGCTACGAGATCTAAAGAACTCTTGATTAGGTGCAAAGAGGCCACACGCCTGCACAAACTTAAGAAAAGTGTTATTGTTAATACCGGAGTGTCTTATTTGATGTCAAGTTAACATTTTTTAAAAGTTTTATCAATTACCGCGGGGAAAAATCCTTGATCCAAGGCAAATGGTCTGCAATAATAGAGTACATTAGCAAGCAAAGATCCTGAGGAACTAACTTGGAGAGCGTGAAATACAGAATATTAAAAAGAAGCAATTTTTTGCTAAGCCGGGTGACATGATTCAAAATGGAGAGACAAACCGGAAAGCGTTTGCGGTAAACAGTAATTCTGAAATCAGATCCATTGCTGATTATAAGAATATCAGTGAAGAAAAGGGTATTGTCTGACTTAATTTTAAAAATGAACTTGTACGTTTTGTTTTCAGTCGAGAATGTAAAAAATGAGAAATGCCCTCGCCGGATTCAAACCTGGAACTCTCGAATACGCGCCGAGCGTGCTAACCATTACACCACGAAGGCATGCTGTAAGGAGAGAAAAAAATACCAGCTCGAAAAATACCAACTTGTAGATACTTTTCCACTGGAGTATGAAGCAGCAGATACATATCCTGTCAACCTTATATACCAGTTTCTGACCGGACATGGGCGTTTCCCGGGATACTTCGTTAGGTTTAAGATACAGGACGAAGATAATTGTAAACTATGTTGTCTGTTAGGTGATGCTGTAAGGATCTTAAATTTTACTAACGTTTATTTTATTTTAAATCTTTCCTATCACTTCTTATTTTCTACTTCCGGCCAGAACTATAAGCGTTAACGTATTTATGCAAAGTTTGTCTGGCGAACGCCAGGGTATTTAAGTTGTGGCTTTTTGCCAAGCGAGAGAGAGGAAGCAGTTAGTCGAAGCAGGCCGCTTACCTTAGAAGTTTTACTCAGTTCCTGGTTGCCTTCCAGGCCAGAGGGTTAATCCTCTTGATAAAACTTTAAACGTATTGTAGTGTTCACAGTTCTCTGTACTACATACGGCTTCCTGTTAATATAAGGCCAATCTTCCACGTTTATTATTTAAAGTCAATTAGAGTTTAGTTTTATTTTTATATTTTTACGTTTAGACCACAAGTAGTGGGTCTTTGTATTCCGAAGTACGGAAGTTATTGTAAATAGAGAAAAATAAAGGGTTTTGTATACCCTTCTTGTGTATCCTGTCTACTTCCCACAGTTATTGAACATAGCTTTAGTAAGCTCTCTGTTCCGAGTCAGGTCCTTGCATGTTCCCGAAGAAAGTAAGACGGAACATTGAACCTGATAATGCTAAGCACTTCCTCGAGGTCTGTCCCTATTTTAATAGCTTAAGGAGACTCATACATTTAAAAACTCATAAGATCTTCGAATATTGAATGACTGTTGCAAGAATTGGGATAAGTTATTTATTTTAAAAGCAATTACTTCAAACTTTTTACAGCTGACTACATAATAAAGCTAGTAATCAGAAAGTTTGTGTTGCAACAAATATTTTTATAATTGAATCCGCATTTTGACAAATCTTTCGTCCTGTTTCCGCCTTGCGAGCACAGTTTAAAACGTTTTGTCGCATAATTTAATTCCATATTTAATATGTAGCTTTTATAACATTTGGAAACTAACTTGAACCAAAAATTCTAAGAATTTCATATTAAATTTTTATTTTATTTGGAGTTTAGTTTATAAAATGTATTTTATTAAAAAAATCTGTAATGTTTTCGTGCATAAAATTTTTCAATATTAAAATATTCAGCAGATTTTTATTTCAGTTAGAAAATAGTGCCCATATAAAGAATTCCATCTAATTTCAAGTATGTACCATTAGCCATTTTTAAAATATCATGCGCGCAAGGTGGAAACATGACGAAATGATTTGTCACAAAACGAATTAAATTACAAAAATATTTGTGGCAACACAAACTTTCTGGTTACTAGTTCCCAAAGCAGCTATATTATGGAGTCATCTGTAAAAAGTTGGAAGTAGTTGCTTTTTAAAATAAATAAAATATTCCAATTCTTGTAACAGTCACATATTCGAACATTATAAGGGGTTTAAGGTGTATGAGAAACAATAAAAAATTGATTTTGAAAATCCCTTTTTATGCTATAAAGATTTCGCACAAGTATGTAAATCTGCTATGAAAATTATTAACGGAGACCTCCGAACAGTAAGAATTTAGTGGATGATTTTTGCGTTTTATTACCATCACTATCTGGTCTATTTTTACTAATTTTTTGCTACCATTGTTTGTGTTCGTTTTCAAGTGGTTTTTTTTTTTTTTTTTTTTTTTTTTTTTTTTTTTTTTTTTTTTCGTGTCTGTTTTTGTCCAAATATTTGTATTTGTTCTTTTTTTAACTTTTATGTTTTTAATTATTATTAACACATGATTAATTTCATTTGGTTATTTTATGTTTCATTTATTTTCCTTTATTGAAATGGGCGTGGGCTGTTATGACCATGAGACCAACTTGTTTGATTAGGTGCGCCCACTACTGATACCTTATATACTCCCCCTTTTAAAGGGCGACTGGGGATTAGAAAACCCAGTCGCCACAT